GTTCAGCTCGATGACGTCCCTCGTACTCTTGATCCAACTGAGGCCAAGGGATAGTTTCGTCAGCACGACGATGTCATGACGATGATGATGAAGTTGTCGACGCAGGGCTTCACCTAAGCACTACAACGATATGACCGAGGTGGAATTCTATGGAGGGGGCACCGCACACGGCTAAACAATCAACTTTTGTGTCTATGGGGTGCCCCCCTCCCTCGTATATAAATGAGTGGAGGAGGGGATGGCCAGCCCTCTCATGGCGCGCCCAAGGGGGGAGTCCTACTCTCAGTAGGAGTAGGTTTCCCCCCTTCCCTAGTTGGAGTAGGAGAAGAAGGAAGAGGGAGAGGGAGAGAAGGAAAGGGGGTTGGCCTCCTTCCCAATTCAGATTGGGCTTGGGGGGGGGGGCTGCGCCCCCACCTTGGCCGCCTCCTCCTCTCTCCCATTAAGGCCCAATAAGGCCCATTGACTCCCCGGGGGCTTCCGCTAACCCCCCGGTACTCCGGTAAATGCCCGAAATCATCCAGAACCATTCCAATGTCCAAACATAACCTTCCAATATATTGATCTTTATGTCTCAACCATTTTGAGACTCCTCGTCATGTCCGTGATCACATCTGGGACTCCGAACTACCTTCGGTTCATCAAAACACATAAACTCATAATACCGATCGTCATCGAACGTTAAGCGTGCGAACCCCACGGGTTCGAGAACTATACAGACATGACCGAGACTCACTTCCGGTCAGTAACCAATAGCGGAACCTGGATGCTCATATTGGCTCCTACATATTCTATGAAGATCTTTATCGGTTAAACCGCATAACAACATACGTTGTTCCCTTTGTCATCGGTATGTTACTTGCCCGAGATTCGATCATCGGTATCTCAATACCTAGTTCAATCTCATTACCGGCAAGTCTCTTTACTCGTTCTATAATGCAACATCCCGCAACTAACTCATTAGTCACATTTCTTGCAAGGCTTATAGTGATGTGCATTGCCGAGAGGGCCCAGAGATACCTCTCCGACAATCGGAGTGACAAATCCTAATCTCGATCTATGCCAACTCAACAAACACCATCGGAGACACATGTAGAGCATCTTTATAGTCACCCAGTTATATTGTGACATTCCATAACACACTAAGTGTTCCTCCGGTATTCGGAAGATGCATAATCTCATAGTCATAGGAACATGTATAAGTCATGGAGAAAGCAATAGCAATACACTAAACGATCATAGTGCTAAGCTAACGGATGGATCAAGTCAATCACATCATTCTCTAATGATGTGATCCCGTTCATCAGATGAAAAGTCTTGTTCATGGCTGAGGGAGTCCTGGACTAAGGGCTCCTCAGGCGCCAAGCCTGTTAGCCATGGGCCGGACTGTTGGGCTGTGAAGATACAAAGACCGAAGGCTCTACCCGTGTCCGGATGGGGCTCTCCTTGGCGTGAAAGGCAAGCTTGGCGACCGAATATGAAGATTTCCTTTTTCTGTAACCGACTTTGTGTAACCCTGGATCCCTCTGGTGCCTATATAAACCGGAGGGCTAGGTCCGTAGAGAGGACAATCATAATCATAGTCATACAGGCTAGACTTAGGGTTTAGCCATTACGATCTCGTGGTAGATCAACTCTTGTAATACTCATATTCATCAAGATCAATCAAGCAGGAAGTAGGGTATTACCTCCATAGAGAGGGCCCGAACCTGGGTAAACATTGTGTCCCATGTCTCCTGTTACCATCGGCCTTAGACGCAAAGTTCGGGACCCCCTACCCGAGATCCACCGGTTTTGACACCGACATTGGTGCTTTCATTGAGAGTTCCACTGTGCCGTCGTCAAAAGGATTGATGGCTCATCTTGTCATCAAGGAAAATATCACCTCCGGAGGAGCCCTGGCCTCAGGCCAAACCCTTCGGCTGGGCGGTTTCATCATGACCGCCCGTTCGGCCCTTGAGCCGATGATGACCTCTCGAGTCATCGAAAATCGTCTTTGTGTTGATTCTGAATACGCCAAAGGGATGGATCCAACAGAGTTATCGTCTTTAAAGGAACTCCAAGATCGCATCGCCGCCTTGGGGGTCGCTACAGACTACGATAGGATTGGGTTTAAACCCGACCAGAGAGAAATTAAAACTCCATCGATCACCCATCAGATAGCGGTAGTCGAGGAGCAAGATAACTTTTCCTCTATATTGAGGAAGAACTATGTTCGGATCTCCGATCTCGAACAGCCGGACACCTACCGGCAGAAAGACACGCCTCGTCCTCCGAACATAGAATCAGACGATAAGCTCAGAAAATCAGTTGATATCCCGGAGCTCGAATTGCTAAGTTCAGAGGATCTTCAGACTCCGGATCTAAAATTGGGTCAGGGTTCGGATTTAAATCCACCCACCCACCCAGACATAAGCGCTCTCTTAAGCATACAACAGCGGTCTCAGGAAATGGTCCACCACTTCTGGGCCAGATTCCTCCTTGTCAAAAACAAGATTAAAGATTACTGTGACGAAGACGCGATCTTAGCGTTTCGCAACAATTGCATGGATGAGGGAATCCTCAACGCCATCGACCGCCGTCACATATTACACTTTGCTGACTTGGCAACTATCATACAGAAGTACATCGCAATGGAAAGCGCCTGGAAAACTCAGGCAGCCCATTGGAAACCATCGGTCCCCACTCAACCCCTCGCTCAGGCGAAAAGGGCGCACCCTCATGGCACGCCTGGACCAATAGTAAAGAAATACAAGCCTGTTACAGGGCGCGGAACCGTTCTGGAAGGATGGCTCGATGGGCCATGCAAAATACACACAACACTAGATAACATACCAACCCACAGCCCTAGAGCATGTTGGATACTTCGGCAAGTGGCCAAGAGCGGTGAGGATATCCTCACCAGGAATACCCCAGAACAACACCCCCTAGAAGACGACGACCTCAAAGTATTGACGGTCTTCGAGACATTCGCCTCAAACAATAGGCGCAAAAGGGCACTCCGTGAACTCGCCGAAATCTGCCAAATCGCAACAATAAACCCTTCGAACGACACGGCTATTACCTTTAATGCCGGCGACGAGCCAAAATACAGGACAGTTCGAGCACCAGCCGCCTTGGTCCTCAGCCCAATCGTGGACAGCTTTTGGCTCATCAAGGTTGTCATGGACGGCGGCGGCGGACTAAACCTCATCTATGAGGATACACTACAAAAAATGGAAATAGACAGGAGCCGCATCGAGCAAAGCAACACGACCTTCCAAGGAATCATTCCCAGTCGGGAGGCACGGTGTGCGGGAAAAATCACGCTTGATGTGGTATTTGGCACGCCGGAGAATTATCGGTCCGAAGAGATAACCTTCCAAATGGCCCCTTTCAACAGCGGATGTCACGCCCTCTTAGGGCGAGATGCATTTACACGCTTCCAAGCCATACCTCATTACGGATACATGAAGTTTAAGATGCCCGGGCCCAGTGGCATAATCACTCTCGCTAGTGATCCGGACATAGCACTCCGCATCAAAAATAAAACCGCATCTCTGGCCCTCGAGGCATTATCTGAAGCCCTCGCGGCCGAAGAATTAACCGCACTGCGCTCCATGGTGGACAAAGACGATGTGATCCTAGACAAACGACCCAAATCCACCTTTTTCAAATCGGCAGAAGAAATAGTTAAATTCCAAGTCCATCCAACGGACCCCGAGAAGACATCATCTATTGGAGCACAACTAGACCCAACGGTTGACGTCACGTTACGAGAGTTCCTGCGCGAGAATTGTGATATATTCGCCGGGCACCCTTCTGATATGCCAGGAATCCCACGCGAGTTGGATGAACACAGTCTCAATATATTGAAGGGATATAAACCGGTCAAGCAAACACTCCGGCGCTTTTCCAAACACAAACGTCAAGCTATGGGGGAGGAGCTAGCTTACTCGATAAGCATGTCGATTTGACTACTCGGCGTGGGTGGATGACAAATGGGTCCGCGTGGAAGGGAGCATGGGTTGTTTACACAAAATGCGAGGGGTTATATGCAAAAAAGCAGCGACACGCGGCCACAGCAGAGCAAGGGGCAGTAGAGTGTTACGTAAAAGGACCGTAAAGTGTTACGTATTCATATGTATGGAGATCATACTGTAGTGCTTCTCGAGTAGCTGGACTAAATGGTAATGCGTCAGAGACGAAACGTGTAATTTTCTCCGAAATGAGCTCGCTCGTGGGAGGAGACAGCTCGAACCCGTGTGCTCTTCTGTCACTTGGGGGGTGGCATTCCATCCTAATTTTAGTCAACTTCATCTCCTGCAGAAGCCCGGAATGAGCAGCTTCCCTACTCCAAGAAATTTGCACTACGGGCACTACCAACTCTCCTTCTCAGCTCGGAGGTGATCAATGCGTGTTCGAGCCAGGAAAGAATACTGAGCGAAGGTACTGCAGTTTATGCTGATTGTTTTATCTTGGCAGGTATGATCGCAAGTCTTACACTGTCTTGTTTCAAAAAAAAAAGTCATACACTGCCCGAGGGAAGGCAATAGAGCTGCTCACAATATTGCTTTGCAGATGATAATGATGTTTCCTGTAACTGAGTTGATGAACCCCCTGATTTTCTTGTAAACGACCTGGTGAACGATGTAATGACATTGCCAAATCAATAAAATTAGACATGATGGTATTCTCTCGAAAGAAAAGAAAAACTCTCCTGAACCCCGCAGAGTTGAGACGTCCAACCCGGCTCCGACCACTGAGTTGGAGAAGCTGGCAGCTTGACATTCATTTGGAATTTCTCGGTATATCATTACCGACAGCAGAGGAGAGAGTTACAGAACAAAGAAAGGTTGGGAAAGATTTCACCACAACTGGATTTTGGCGCGAGATTTTTCGCAAATTTTATTGTAAAGTTTTAGATAATAACAGTCTACAGCTATTGCATTTACAGGTACATATCTAGTAAAACAAGAAAATTATTGAGCTATCTACAAATACTATCCTTGTGTCGTGGAGATTCAGAACACATCAAGGGAGGGCCGGGAGATCATATCGTCTTCCAGTAGCTCATATGGATCAATGTATGGTGGTGGCGCCACTGGTTTCTTGCTCCCGTCATGTACAAAGCTTTGCCCAAAATACTGCAATGAGAAATCCAGGACAAGCAGTGTCAGCTTTCTTACATCATGTAAAACTACAAAGATGGACACTTTTGGTCAACTCCAAATGTTGTCAAAATCATAGACAGAAATCTCCCTTCGTGCACAAGAGACAAGAGAGCACTGAAAAGAACAGAAATTACATATTGTTTATGCTTTCTGCTATTATTTCGTTTCTTATATAGTTCGAGTATCTAGGGAAGAAAATGTTCCCAACAAGCTTGTGCATCGTCCCATGGCTGCTGTGCGATCACTCAATTTATGATTCGGTTAGTTTAATTTGCATTGGTTGTACCCCTCCTTTTTCTCTGTGTGATGATGACAATGTCTGGCCACCACACCAAATTTATCATGTTGAGCACAAGCTCATAATGTCATATCAAACCTTAAGATGTTCAATGGGTTATGTAAATAACCAGATCATGTCCAACTCTCCTAGTACAATATAAACATTCAGTGTCAAAAGCCAGAAGCGCTACACAGGGAAATTACGAGCAAAGCACATATTGGAAATAATAAGGTGTGTATTCTGTATTCCAATTGTACCATGCTGAACAAAAATCATATAATGATCTCAATGTGTTCAATTGATTTATATTAACTTATGATCAGATACTAACTGAAACTGTACAGCGTATATGCACGCCATGTCATAATAGGGTCGATGAATTGCTACAATACTACACAAGTAAATCAGGGGCCAAATACATAATGACTACATGAGCGGGTATGAAGCACACAAAGAGATTAGACAGCTTACCAGATAAAGACCAGCAAATAGAGAAACCGTGACAATAATCAGAGGACCAAATGCCAGGGAAAAAGTACCACCAAGTGATAGTAACAGCTTTGCCCGTGGTACTAGACCCTGAAAATAGATAAATAGATGATAACAGGTAAGGCTTCCTGGTGATTGTATCATTATCATCTCAGTGTAAACTGATAAGCAATCAGTGGCGACGAAATAGCAAAACATGAATGTTTACTATACAAACTTTCAGACGATTATTTATATCAAACATTTTGAATCACATATGACAATGAAAGATTTCAGAATATTCATGCAAAATTACTTTAACTAAGCCTATGCTGATGCCCGTCGACATTGGTTGGGGAACAAGTAATGTGCATAACAAGCAAAAAGAAGGGTGAAAAGGTAAAATGGAGCATCAAACAATAAGGGAGACATGTAATAGACCAAGAAATACATGTTGCATAAATGGCCTAGCTGGGGTGCATGATTTCAACCAAAAAGGAAAATGGACAAGTAATCACTAGGTATTGCAGTAAGCGAGGACACACGGTGCCACACATCGTAGACCTATACCCATGCTCAAGAACAAACAAAGAGAAAAGATAACAGATTACTTTGTTGAGATCATGAACATTATTTCTCAACAGAAACAAGAGCTATGCTGATACAAGGTAGATTTCTCAATGATTGTTAAAAGAACCATGACTATTTTTCGCAAGGAAAAGATTCCAGTGTCTACCCCACAAAATAGATTATGCGTGTTCATAATTTTATAGGCAGTTCTGTAGTCAGAATGGCTCGCTCTCGCTCCGCCCCGCCCCTCCCTCCTAGCTCAGAGTAGCCCCCCAGCCTCACCGCCGTCGAATCCCTGCCGGTAGCCCTCCCTCCCCTCCCTCCCCTAGCCCTCCAGCCCCGCCGCCGTCGAATCGCCACCAGTAGCCCCCCCCCTCCCACCCCTTCCCCCCAGCCCCTTCCCTGTCCTGCCATGGCGTCCTCCAACACTGACCTGCCGACCACGGAGTGACCCTCTCCGACGAGCGCGTGTCCTACGGCGACCACTGGCTCAACTCGGGGAGCGAGTCCTCTGCGCGCTTCTACTGTGAGGTCCCGTGCCGCCTTGGGGCCTTCCCTGCGTCGCCGGCGCCCCCTGCCCCTGGCCACGCGGCGATGCCACCTAGATAGCCTGCCAGGAGCCGCCACGATCCCCGCTCCGAGGTGCACCGCGTCCCCGGCACCAACGCGGTCGATGCGGACGGGTTCCAGCAACCAGGGCGCAGGAACCACCGTCGCCGCCCGCGCCAGGCCGATGCGCCCAGTGCCCCTCCGCGCCGCCCATCCCCTGAAGAGCTGGCTGGGCCCTGCTTTCGGTGCCTGGACCCCCGCCACCGCGTGAGGGACTGCACCAACGACATCAGATGCCGCCACTGCCTGACCTCCGGCCATGACTCCCGCTCTTGTGACGCCCATAGCCAAGATGAGGAGCGCGGCCCCCGCGCTTCGCCTGGCAACTCCAGACCGGTTGTCGTCGAGCCTCCTTGCCCCCAGGCCACACTCCTGCCCCCGCCTTCCCAAGCAACTCTGGCCGCGTCGTTGCCTGATGTCCGCCCACCCGAGCCGGAGCGCGTCATCATGCCGCACACCATAGAGATGGAGGAGGCGGAATAGGTCCTGGCTCAAGCGCTAGTGGCCTCCGTCACTGGCAATCGCCCGCACGTCTCCACCAACAAGGTCGCCGCGGCGCTCTACGACTCCTTCGGGCTGGTCTCCTCTTCGGCTCGCAGGCTACAATGGACCGCCTAGCCGGCAAGCACTTCATCCGCTCGCCCCACTTCTCCCTCTCGATGCGCCCATGGAGCAAGCTTGCCCACGCAGGCTCCGACGAGTTCGAGTACCGCGTCGAGCTTGAACTCCGCGGCATTCCTGCTCAAGCCTGGCACCTCTCCACTGCCGAGCACACCCTTGGGAGAAGCTGTTGGATCGAGGACCTCCATCCCAGACTCGTTCCCGTGCCGACCTCACCACTTTCCGTCTGTCTGGGCGCACGCATGACCCTGCCGGCATTCGTCGCGCCGCCGTTCTGGAGGTTGTCGAGCAAATCCCCGCGCACCTTAGCACCGACACGCCGTTCATCAGAATGCTAACCTTCCCCATCTCCATCGCCATCGTCCGCGCTGAGATGATCAGAACTGCACATCCTAGCACACCGACAGGTCCAGGCCCAGACCGGGACAAGGGCGCCGGCAACAGCAACGATGACGGGCCAGGCCATGGACGCGCGCGCCGCCGCGGCCACAAGTGCGGACGTATGGAGCCGCAGCCCACCAGTCGTGCCGATGGCATGGCGGTGGACAGCCTCGGCTGGCGTGCCGGAGACCAAACCTCGTGCGCGGATGGTGTGGCCATGGCGACAGGGTGGCCCGTTCCACCCGGCGCGACGACGGGTACGACCGTCCAGCCACGGAACCGTATGCTACCGTGGCCCGGTCAGCATGGAGCCGACCGCCGTCATCACTGTGCCAAAAAAGGAAAGGGTAAAAGGAAAGATATGCCTACTTTACCCGTGGGACAGACATGCAGTACTGACGCCGCCCCTAAGGGCCCGTAGCCAGGCTTGATAGGGATAGCTGGCGGCATGCTAGTGGCTACGGCAGCGTTGAATCCGTTCAGAATTTTGAATCCGGCGGCCACCCACGAGCCTGAGGACGATCACGCGGGGCCGCCAATTGCCTCACCTGATCCTTTGGCCTGTCGGGACCTGGCCGTGCTCAGCGAGGTTCCAAACTCGCAGCAGGTCATGCCAAAGCTGACACCCACCTTGTCGGGACAAAGTGGTGTTTCCCCCACAACCGATCCCGAGGTGGAGCCAACCCCATGCGCTCACCAGTCCTCGCCCCCGTCCGCGCGCGCTGGGACGGACAGCGCGGTGCACGAGCTTCGCGCCACTTCTCCCGCCCACGCATTGGTGACCCCACCCTTGGACAGATTGCTACCGCCATCCCCGGACTAGCGGGACCCGCAGACGCCCATGCAGAATCCCGTGGCCCCGGTCTCGCCCGGGCCCGTTGCGGCTCTCTCCACTAACCCCGAGAAGGCACGTCAGAGCATGCATGGGTCTGGGCCAGGACGCTTCACTTCCCCACCAATAATCAGGCGCCGATCCCGCGGACATGCACTTGCCGCTCGCTCATGCACGCTAGGGGACTTTCTAGCCGCTGCCACCAAGGAGCTCAACGCTGCTCTGCCGGCGCCCGAGAAGAGGTCCCGTCGCCCTCTTGATTTCACCCCTCGTCGTGGCCGCTCAGCTGCCGCTATGCCCACGACCGCTGCTCCTCCCACCGTCGAAAGACGCGCGCAAGTGCAGGTCCTTCGCACACTTGGAATTGTCGGGACCAATCAGAAGATCTCGGCCGCGGGGATGAAGGCATACGACGATCTGTTCGCGGCGCCCATCCCGTTGTCGGTGCTTACGGCCATCGCTGCGCTGGTCGATCATGAGATCCCAGCTTGCCTTGCGGTGCAACCGACTACCTCGGCGCGTGTCGGTATTGCGTTCGAGACTTAGGCCCCCCTAAACACCCGCTCCTGTCGATCCAATCTCTATGGATCACGGCCTCAAGATCGTGGTATGGAATGTGCGAGGTCACAACGCACGTGCGCGGCTCCACGCTATTCGCAGGCTGCTTGACACAACCGACGCCTCCATTGTATGCTTGCAAGAAACAAAGATGGAGTTGATCCACTCGTCTGTTGTTCTTGACACGCTTGGTTCGGAGTTTGACGATTACACATACGTGTGGCGGCATTCTCCTTGCGTGGAAAAGCAGGGCCATGACTATCACGGCCCCTTTGTTCACCACCAACGCGATCTCTACCTGTGTCGCCACGGCCGCCGGCACGCCGTGGTGGATCACGGTTGTATACTGACCCCAGGATGATGTGACCAAGGTCGCCTTCCTAGAGGAGCTACGCGAGATCAGAGCAGACTACCCTGGACCGTGGATGCTTTGCGGTGACTTCAACCTCATCCTCCGCTCCAAGGACAAGAACACGGGCAACCTCAATAGGCGCATGATGGGCAAATTCCGCCGCCTAGTCAACGATCTCGCGCTCAAGGAGGTATACCACAACAGGCGAAGATACACGTGGTCGAACGAGCAATCACCACCGACCCAGGTGCACCTCAATCGTGTGATGTGCACCTCGGACCAGGAGGATGGGCACGGCGAATGCCACCTGAGGTGCCTTGCGTCCGTCGTGTCAGATCATTGCCCCTTGCTGCTGGATTGCGCCCCCGCGCCCGTGATGCACCGCAGGTTCCACTTCGAGGACCATTGGCTGCGTTTGGATGGATTCCACGACACGGTGGCCGCGGCATGGGGCTCCATTCACGACACCGACCCCTTCCGCTGCCTAATGCTGCATCTCCAAACCACCGCGCGTAGCTTCACGAGTTGGAGCGCCAGAGCGGTTGGCAACGTAAAGACCAAGTTGGCCATTGCTAGAGAGCTCATTGCGTGTTTCGACAAGGCCTAGGAGGACCACGTCCTCACGCCCTCGAAGGACTGGCTGCGCAAACAACTGAAGGTTTTGTACCTCGGGCTTGCGTCCCTGGAACGGACGACCGCTAGACAGCGTGCCCGCATTGCCAACCTCAAAGAGGGTGATGCCAGCACTGCCTTCTTCCACAGGCAATGCTCCTTTCGACAACAGAAAAACCATGTCTTCAGCCTCTCCGCAAATGGCACGATGCTCACAGATCATGATGAGATGGCCGAGGTTGCATTCCGGCACTATGACGCACTGATTGGTACTATTGCCGAGCGCGATCACACGTTGGACCTATCGCAACTTATCAAGGGGAGCGATCTCTCCAACCTCGATGCGCCCTTCTGCCCGGCGGAGACCTGGGAAGCCGTGAAGCGCCTTCCTGCGCGCAAGGTTCCAAGGCCCGACGGCTATACTGCCTAATTCCTCCGCGCGTGTTGGAGCATCGTCAAGCAGGACTTCATGGATGTGTTCCAACAGCTTTTCGAGCTGCGTGGTCGTGGCTTCTGCAAGCTTAACCAAGCCCTCCTCACGTCGTTGCCTAAGCGCACCGATGCCCAGGAGTTGCG